TGATTTTTTATAATTTCCCTAATTTCAAAACAAAAAATGATGGGCTGGCCAAATTGACCCAATTTCAAAATGAAAAACTAAACAAAAAAAAAAGGATGGCAACCCAATTTCAAAATGAGAAAAAAAAAGCGGGGAGAAGAAGGATGTTGGTTCATCTTCTTCGGAGAAGAAGATGAACCAACGGCTTCTGGCGGCAAGTGAACTCCCAATCCGGTCGGTCAGGCGGAGCCCAACACGCGCGGCGGCCCCCCTGGCCGAGTGCTGAGTTCGTCTCTGGGGGTGAGCCAGTGTTGGTGAGGAAGAATATGAAGATTTTATGGTGGTAGTGGAGTGAATGTGTGATTTCAGAAGAAGATAAAGTTTTAAATGTTTGAAATTGTGGATGATGCATATAAAACAATTTTGAGTGTAATGTTAAAAAAAAAAATGTTTTTATTTTAAAATGATAAGTACACCACAATATTATATATTAGTTTTTATTGAATTACGAGTATAATGGTAAATTTATTGTGATGTATTTATTGAAAATATATTTTAATTATGGCGTGATTATAATGTGGTGTAGTAAGTCAATTTTGTAATAGTAATAGAATTACCCATTAATTATTAACAAAACTAAAATTAAGGGATTGTTTGAGCCCCATTTTTTGGAAAGTTCACTTTTCAAAACTTATTTTCAATTACACATTTTTTAATAAAATAATATTACGCATAAATCGAAATTTTTTTTCTTAATTTTTAATCACACATTCTTCAAAAACCTCTATTCAAAAAATATATTTTTCTCTTAAATTGGGGCTCAAATAAGGGCTAAATAAGGATATATTATGTATATAACTAAATATGTAAGGGTAAATTGGGTATTCAAAAGTTTCTCATCAATCCTTCATTTTAATATACTAGTAGTAAGCACGCGTGTTGCACATTTTATGTGTCGAATGAATGATATGCGTAATGTTTTAGAAGTACTAATACTGTTTTTAAAGTAGTTGAGGTAATTAATATTGTTAAAGGAAAAATTAAAATTGTAACAATTCTTTATACACATTTTTTTTTGTTAACGTCCCACATCGTTTCTTCTTTTTATTTTTTGTTTTTATCAAGAATTTTGTTGTTTGAACAGAAACTATGTGAAAAAGTACCACAGTTATTATAGTTCGCTGATCAATTATTTCATCGAATGGGTGATTGGAATGCCTTACAAAGTTTTTTCGCCTTATTTGTCACTTAAAACTATTGAACAGCAATCATTATCATGTCGAACTGTAACACCATTCATAGTAATTTATTTATTTATTTTTTATGCAAAGAAATATGTATCTATTGATTACGAAAATTATATAGAAAAAGAATATAATTTTAAACAAAATGTAATTTCTCGAGAAATCTGCATTCCCATTCTCCACAGTGATTTTTACAATGCAAATTCTCATCCATGCTTGGCAGCTGTCATTTCTTATTATTATTATTATTATTATTATTATTATTATTATTATGGACAAAGAAATATGGGAAAAATTATATAAAATGATCTATGGTAACACGAGAATTATGAAAGTTTTCTTTCAACATGTACAAGGTGATGATATAAAATATTACAAGTTTAGATGTGCCTAGATGTAAAATAATATATAGCAAACAACTAAAATCATAAATAATATAATAACTTAAGAATTCTTACAATTAGACAATTTTTA